TAAAGATAATATAAATCATTTTATACTTCTCTCCATTCTTCTTAATCCTCTCAACTACCTCTTTACTTGTTTTTGGAATAACAATCACACTACATTTCAGTGTTTTGTACTCCTTCTTTATTTCTTCAATCATTCTGTTCTTTTCAACTTCTTTTCCTTTTCTTCAAACACAACCAATTTGTATGAAGTGATGTATTTTATTATTGTTGATGTTGAAGTGGAATTGATTAATGAATTGTGTAAAAACACAAACAACTAATTAATAAATGAGAAGATAATGAATATCATGTTATTGTAATGTTAAAAAGAAAGAAAAGAAATAAAAAGACAATAAAAATGATGAAGATTAATGATATATGAAAAGAAGATGATGAAAAGAAAGAGAATAAATGAAGTAGTCAGAAATAAGAAATATAAACATTGTTATGAATGTGATGATAAATAAATAATGCATGAAATGATATTTGTTTTCAATAAGAATAAGAAATGATTAATGATTAATAAAATTGAGATGTGGTTTATTACAAAATATGAAATGAATGATAATATGAGAAAGAAAATGATGATGACCATCAATTAACACACAAAATAAAATGAAAATTATTTGTATTAACATTATCAATTAAATAACCATTTAATTTATAAAATTTATAAATTATTTTAAATCATCTCTTATGATTTCATTGTTTATTCTTGTTATTAACACATTAATCTCTTCTATTTCTTTGATACTATCAATTTCTTATTTCATTTATTTTTCTTTATCATAATTGATTGTTTCAATAAAAATTGAATTATTGAATGAAATTAAAACCACCATTAATTTAATTCTTATTTAATAGGAACTTACACATTACATTTGGTTGTTTATGATGGATGTAAGTCATCTCATTCAAGTAGATGTATTTCAATTTATTTCCATCATAAACAACAACCGTTATTCTCAATCTTTTATCAGAAGAAATGAACTATTTCAAAGAGAAACAAGAAGAAAAGAAATTAATAGAGTTAGAAAGGATTCCAACAAGAAATAATTAAAGTATCAACAAGGAGTGGAAAAGCATTTGAAAAGAGAAAATAAAGAAAGAAATGTTATTGTATTTTAGAAAATGACAAATTAATTATAATAAAATAGTACTATTATTTAATTTATTCTTTTTTGTTTTTATTTTTTGTTTTTTATAAATCTCTTTATAAATAATAAATTAAGTTCGACGATAATTAATTAATAGTTCATTTATTTTTAAGTTTTAATTATAAAAAGATAAAACAAAAATAAGAAAAAGAAAATGTTATTATTTTAATTAAATTTATTCTATTTTTATTTATTTTGTTATTTATATTTTGTTATTTAAATTAAAATTAAATTAATTTTGAAATTAACTATGAAATTAAATAGAAGAAATGTAAAGAGAATAAATCAAAAGAGAGAATGAATAAATATAATCATAATGAAATGAAAGAGTATTATAAATGATAAAATGAATGAAATAATATTTATGTTAATTTATTTATTGATTATCGTTTTATGATAATGATATTAATGTCATTTCATTGATTGATAGATGAAATATTCATATTCATTTATTGATTTTATTTTATATTCTTTTTTATTTTTATATTTCAAATAAATAATAATGAATAAAAATCATTTCATTTCAATTATAATGATTCTTTTTGGTGTGAAACGTTCTGGATATTGTTTTCCACAAAGTGTACTTGATGTTCCTTTATATGAAAATGAAATTTGTTTACAAGATGATTTTGTTTTATTGTTTTCTTTATAAACAAAAATATCACCTAATCCAAATCCAAACAAATAATCAT